TTGCTGGAGCCACCGAGTAGAAGAGGATTGATTATTAATCTGTTTTCTAACTTAGTACGTGTCTTCTAAGTAAGCTTATATTTATTTTCTACATGTTTACAGTGCCAATAAATAATTTAACAATTATTTTTATGATAATATAAAAACTGACACAGTCAGGACACCGAAGAAGTCTCATCGTATGATAAATTAACACTTATCGTAGGTTTCTGAGACTAAAATCCTCGTTTAAAACATTTTGACTTCAGAAACCAACGGTTAGTAACTTAAGAACTATTTAATTAACAATTAAACAACTCTAAGCGCGACAGCTTTGCCAATGCAAGTCTAAATATGTCGGAAAAAAAAGTTTTCTTCCGACATATTTAGACTTGACTGTGCCTAAACATAATAAGGAGCCTTCCTAAGATATTTTAAAACACTGTAAAATATTTTTTTAGACAATTGAATTCATATTAAGGAGCTGGGAAAGATCTGGTCATTTATCGCTCACTACAACCAAGAAAACTTTTATGTTTATGACGGGTAGTGCTGCCCTGTTCTATTTAATGCGATTAGAAGGAGATAAAGCAACTAGAACACCGCTATTGTGGTAAGTAATTAGCATTGCAAATATCGTAATGGTTCAAACTACGTTCATGCAATATTGGTGTGTGGTTCTCATTCAATAATTGTGTTACGATAGAATTCAGTGCGGTTCAGTTACTTAGCATTAGTAATACTGTACAAGGCTTTCAAAATTAACATAACACACCTCAAACAATGTAAATACTTAACTTAAATCTTACTAATATTATAAATGCGAATGTTTAGATCAGTGGTTTTTAGCGCCCCCATATTAGAGTTTAAGCAATCTTTTAATTAATTTTAGTTGATGTTCAACAACAATGTTGAGAGTAGTGAGCTCATGCAGTCGTTGTCTAAGAGGCCTCTGGGTAAATAAAATTACAAATCACCCCCCAGGCCTCTACACAACGCTTTTCACAACACAACAATTTTCTTTCTGGGTCTCTTACCGCCTCCCCTCGAGACCTGCAGCGCCCACAAGGGGGCATTATCGCCCACTTTGGTAAAGACTGGTTTAGGTGGATGTTTGTTTGAATGTATCTCCGGAACAGATCTATTGATCTTGCTGAAATTTTGCATAGATGTAAAACATAGTCTAAAAGAAAATATAGGCTACTTACTAAGTTTTTTTTTTAATCCACGCGGACAGAATCGCGAGTGACAACTAGTAAAAGATTTTTTTTTAATACGTTAAAAATATATTTTAATACCAAAACCAATGTATTAACATCTTTTGTTTTCAAGGTTATTTACTCCTGAAAAAGTCAAACGGAAAACAGACAATTCAAAAACGATTTGCCCACACGATGGTGATTGTTGGAAATATATGTTGAAGGTATGCATGCTTTACTAATTATGTAATTCGTAAACTTGTATGTAAACTTTATCAGTTATTTTTTTTTGTAAAATCTTAGCAATTTTTTTTGTTAATCTACTAATATTTCTTGTACCATTACAACTAAGCTCTATGCTTGTGCTTGGACATGGTTTACGACAATAGTCGAACCCCCGATCTCGTGATCGGAAATCCGTACCATTAACCTTCATATTGCTATTGGCTATTGACCCTTCAAAGTTGATGAGTGTCTTAAAAAAAAACAATAGCTTTAACTATGGAAAGTAACTTAATTATGTATTATTGTTAAAAGTCTATTTACAACTTGATCAATGGTATACCATTAGATATAATTCGTTTAATTTCCTTCATCTTAATCAAATTAAAATAAGCTTTTATTGGTGTTATTTAACTTGTACAATAATCTTGTAAATTTACAATGAATTGAAATGTCATCATCATCAGCTCACTATACGTCCCCACCGAGGGGCTCGGAGCCTACCCTAAGTTAAGGGTGATTGAAATGTATTTCAATGGAAATCACAATCAGAATGATATACTAAAAAAAATCACATCTAAATGTCTACTAATTCTCTTGCAATCTACTCCTCGGAAAGCATACTACCGAAGCTATGAAACAGCTTGTTTTCGAAAAAAATATTATTCCTACATCTTATAAGAATTTTTTGATAATCATACCGTTCTTTGTTACAGGGTTCGGCGACATACTTCGTAATTGGTGCCGCTGTGAGCCTGGCTCAAGTTATTTTACCAAAAATTACATCTCCTTTAAAAGCAATGGCTTCAATCCGTGTATCACATTTAAAATTGGCACTTTTCTTTGGAAGTTATATCGGTATTTATAGAGTACGATTTCCTTTCTTATACTATAACATATTAAATCTGTACTTAAAAGTTTCATAAGTAATTTTGGGACACTCTGTACAAGTTGAATACCCTAACCAAGTGTATAAAATTCTGGCCTGGAAGCTACAGTCCGGTTCTTTATCACATTACTTTCAATTATGTGCAAAATAATTCTATATATTTCCGCAATATTCCGGCGGTTTGTATATTCCTGGTCAGGCTATAAAATAAAAACTATACATGTGCAGCTAAAAATTACTATAGGTAATCTCTTTTTCAGTCTGTGATATGTTACTTGTGTCAAAAGCGAAGGGTTGACTCAGCCCTATACGCCTTGCCGGCCGGGTATTTGGCTGGCCTGTCGTTCATATTTAAACCGAGCCTAGGTTTCGCGATAGCCTCTTTGACGGGAGCTTTTAAAGTGAGTCCTTGGGAGAGCCTTTACTTGTTATAAGACATCTAATTCAATTTATTAAATATATGTGAAAAGGTTAAAACTTGATATTAAAAAGACGCTTTTTAAGTACTGGATTACTATGAATTTTGCGCCTGTTGTTACAAAATAGCAAAAATGTCTAATTGAAATTCTGCTACTTTACAGTTGTATTCCACTATACTTTATGAAAAGAAGATATTGCCGGAGAACATTCCGCTGCCAGTCATATTGTATTGTCTATGTCAAGGAACTCTCTTCCATGCTCGCTTTATGCATCCTGATGTGTGTCCGAGTTATGTTTTCAAACTAATGAAATCAGTCAGTAATGGCACGTAAGTGTAAACTCTTCATAATTTCATCACCATTTTGTTCATTTTATTAAAAAAAATAATGTGATTATATTTTATTTTACAATTAAGTTAATACTCGTTTGAACAAAAGCTATTTTTGTTTTAGATCCGAACAAATATATTCCAACTTTTTGGAGATTCTCAAGAACCAAAACTGATTTGTTTTATATATTATAATTTGTTTTTTTTATGGTATAGGTACTGGGTGGAGTGGTTTATTAATGTGATATTTTTGTTAAATTCTAAAGGTTTTATTGTTAAAAGTTAGTTAAAAAGATATAAAAATGTTAAAATTATTTATAAAATAAATTTTAAAAATGTTACGAAATAGAAAATGTATATTTATATAATCAAATTTAAAATAGTAAAAGGAATCATAAAGTTTCAATGTTTCTAATTTAATTTTTATCGACTCTTGCTCTTGTAGCGCCTGTTGGATTTATAATCAACACTTTTTTAGGATCTCCAACCATATCTTTCTTCTCCTTTATCCTTCCCGTACCGAAGCGACATATTGAATCGCACTGAAAGTTTACAAAACTACAGTTTATTTTATTGTAAACGAAGTTATAAGAAAAAGTAACGTCTCAACTTATTATCGTGACATTAAACATTTGGCGAAAGTCAAATAGGTAAAAGAACAAACATGGTTTAATTCTTCCAATATAAGACTTTATAAAGACTGACCAAAATATCTGTAAAGTCACAGATATGTGAACCACACCCACATACTATCGACAATGGTGACGTCACCACTTATACTTATATGATGATCTATAATACTATAGTGGCTAACAGACTTTATTTAATCTAGAGGTCTTACTCGACTTTGTAAGAGTAGAATTTAAAAAAGTAGTTAAGTAAGTAGTTTAATATGCCCGCGGCTCCTCCTGCCTTCCCGACAAAGTCTCCGAACGCGGTCTTGCGGACAGACATACAGACAATCTTATTTTAATTATATCTATAGGTTGTCTCAGTTTTTTCAAACAGAATAATGAAAACAATAATTTGTTCCGTAATACAAATCAACGGTTAGGTACCTGTGGCATAGAGTAGAAATTATTTTTGTTTCCACCACATCCTGAATATATTGTTTTCTTGCAAACCTTCCATCGAGGGTCGAAATACCAACGTGGTACAGCACCGAAACAATAACCATAGTCGAAAGTAAGAGAACAATATGGTGGTCGTATATCTGATAAATTAATAAAACTACTACAATAAAAAGGAAATATCCAATCACGCAGTCTCGCTTTTAGAGAAGGATACAGAATACTTACTGTGAATTATTATAGAACTGCTGTGGTATTCGTTTACGAATATGTTTCTTTCTCTATTTATTTAAAAGAGAATGAACGGGAAAGCTATATTGTTATACAGATGTTACACTGGAGACTCACCTTTATTGTAAATTATAACAATTTCAAGGAACATTTGATAGTTTAGTTTACGTCGTAGTTAGGTTAACATACTCCAATGAATCGATAGAATATTGGTAAAATAAAATATTAGTTATAGAAACTTACTCTGTCTATCCGGTTGACTTAAACATGTTGATAAACAGTCCTGTTTTGTGTCGAACCTATTACCGTTACCCTGACAACCACCCCAGCTGAAACGTGGACAGTCATTGGTTTCAGGACTGAAATAGTACATCGCTATATCCGCTCTACACGGCCCTGAATCCGGTTTCAAGTAACAAATTTTAGCAATAACTGAAACAATAGAAAATTTTAACTACCTTAAATTTTTATATCGTACTTGTCCGGGCTTAACAAAATAAATAAATAAGTTAAAAATAATACTTCTTTATTGCCATCACACCAATGCATATCACACAGTAATTACATTTTTTTTGTCACTGAAATGCCACTGTTTGCCTTGAGGAGGCATTTACAGCTTCACCGGGCTTGAGGTGGCCGAGCGCAGATGGCACTTAGCCTAAACCTCGTTTAAGAGTAACTAAGCTCGAGGGCTTCCTCAGGAAC